GTTAGTGGTCGATTATAAACCAATGAGAATAAATACAATTATTTAATATTTGTTAATTTTAATCTATGTATTAAAGAACTTTATAATTCAAGTTATATATACAATTCTTCACTAGTTTGTCATTAGTGATAAAACAAAATAAAGATATATATATGATCTAAATAAAATTTTGCATTGCTCGTTCATACGAAAGGACATAGATATAGATCATAAATTTTTTAAGGTACATATAAGATATGTATACAGATGTCATGATGGGGAAATTACAACAGTTTCGAAGAAGATTTGTATCTTATCTATGATGAATTTCTATAGCATTGATATATCATATATCGTACCTATTATAAATACAATGTTCATTTATTATTATATAGAATGGTACATTTTAGTATTTAAAATACATTGATTAGGAGTTACTCAGGTAAAAATATAATTAAGGTGTCTGATAAATATAATTTTGTCTGATAAATATAATATTAATCTGATAAATAATGATTAAGGTTAAGACAGAGTAAAGTTTTGTCTTACTTTGTCAAATCTGTCGCAAATAATAGGATCACTGAGAGGAGTATTGGAGATGTTAAATTTGGTTGGTGAAAATGACTTTGGAACTAATGTGAAAGGATAGGGTGCGTGCGAATGTACGCAAACACACGTGCAACTCATACATTTTTTACCCAAAAAATTGTTCAACGCATCAATAAAAAAAAAAATCAAGTAAAGTTGATAGTAGAGTTGAAGACGGTATTAAATAAGTAATTATTATTACCCAAAAATGTATACATACAACTATGCAATATATCATTGTTAGTTTTTAACGTTGATAGTAAAGTTGAAGACGGTATAAAATAAGTAATTATTACGTTTTGAAACTTTTTATAAGTTAATTTGAGAAGGCAATACCACCAATATTTTCATGTAATGTAATATAAAAGTAGCCTGTATGAGTTGATGCGTTGTCAGTATTATTACCTGAATCCAAGTTTCTTTAAACTAACAATGATATATTGCATAGTTGTCTGTATTACTATCGGTATTGTGTCAGTATCCAAATTGAAATCCGTAATATATACTGATGAAAAATGTATTGATCCGGAGGTTTTTAGTCCATTACAATTTACAATACGTTAATAACCCTGTCTTTTGGCAACCGATACCCCTATTTACGTACATAATGTCCCTATTTTTGGTAAGAATGGGAAAATAAATATAGATGAACACACGTTGGTGAACACGTAAGATCAATTTATGATTCTAGACTGTTCTAATCTTTGCGACTTGTGGATGACTTGCACTTTTGGGTTCATTGTACAAATTAATCTTTACTTAAGTATTTAAATTGACATCCTTTGTCGTATCATATTAGTACATAAAATTTTACTAGCGTGTGATTTTGTGACTCGGTTCTTTGTTTAATCCGGCCGGAAACATTTCAAAAAATCTTCTATAAAAGATTGCAAGGGTCCAATGAAAATGTTTAAAAAAAAAATAGATTGCAAGGGTACCAAGAATGTATTATACTCTCTCCATTCCTAAAGGATAAATGTTTTAC